CGTTCAATAGAATGAGACAGACGAGGTCACGACGATGTTGACCTTTGATCTATGTATTTGTCTCCCATAATCTAATCAGTTCTCGTTTAGTCCAAGAGGATGTTTGGGGGAAAAAAAAAAAAAAAAAAAAAAAAAGTGATCTTGACTTTTGGTGTTCGACCACTAAAATCTAATCACTTCATCGTTGAGTCCAGGAGAACGTTTGTGCCAATTTTGAAAAAGAATTCCTCCGGGTATTTGAGATATCACATTAAAAAGAGACATTTGAGTTCACAACGACCTTGAACTTTGACCTACGACCTCCAAAATCAAATTAGTTCGTCATTGAGTCCAAGTGGACGTTTGCGCCAAATATAAAGAAATTTCCTCCAACCTGAAAACATAATGCCTCCAGCCATACCTATCCCCAGCACAGAAGCATAAAACGTGTTTAAGCTACTTAAGGGGAAATTTAAGGGGGAATTGAGGTTGAGGAAACTAAAGATTACCTTATTTACTGGTTCAAATTGTGACATGACTTTTTCACATTGTTTATTCGACTGGTCATTGTTTCTTTGTCTCTCCATTTAAATTCTTTAAATTTCTCCAACCACCCGGTCAGACTCTGAAGTCGTCAAATAGCGACGTGTGTTGAAGACCATGTGACACAGTCAAAAGCTCCACAAAAAAAGAGTAAGCAGACCTTGATTGCAAATGATCTTGTGTTCAAGAATAGAAAGTTTTTATCCACATTCAGAAACAAATGCTTCTTGTGTTTTGAGTAAACTTGAAAATAGTGCTGTGTAGTTTACTGTCCTGCCCAGATGGCTTCTGGAAAGTGTAGTAACCCCACTAAATCCAGTTCTACCCCAGCAACCAACCAGAGAGCTGCTTTAAAGAGGAAGACATGTCTATATCGTCGCGGTCATCTTGTGTCATTTTTTGTCTTGTCGAGGTCGTTTTGTGTCATTTTGTAATATTTTGTCTCTTTGGGGTCATTTTGTGTCTCTCTTGGGTCAACTTGTGTCTCTTTGAGGTCATTTTGTGTCTCTTTGAGGTCATGTGTCTCTTTGGGGTCATTTTGTGTCTCTGAGGTCACGTTGTGTCTCTGTGGTCATTTTGTGTCTCTGGGGTCATTTTGTGTCTCTTTGGGGTCACTTTGTGTCTCTTTGGGGTCATTTTGTGTCTCTTTGAGGTCATGTTGTGTCTCTGTGGTCATTTTGTGTCTCTTTGAGGTCATTTTGTGTCTCTTTGAGGTCATGTTGTGTCTCTTTGGGGTCATTTTGTGTCTCTGTGGTCATTTTGTGTCTCTTTGAGGTCATGTTGTGTCTCTTTGGGGTCATTTTGTGTCTCTTTGGGGTCATTTTGTGTCTCTTTGAGGTCATTTTGTGTCTCTTTGGGGTCATTTTGTGTCTCTTTGAGGTCATGTTGTGTCTCTTTGTGGTCATTTTGTGTCTCTTTGAGGTCATGTTGTGTCTCTTTGAGGTCATTTTGTGTCTCTTTGAGGTCAACTTGTATCTCTTTGAGATCATTTTGTGTCTCTTTGAGGTCATTTTGTGTCTCTTTGAGGTCAACTTGTATCTCTTTGAGGTCATTTTGTGTCTCTTTGAGGTCATTTTGTGTCTCTTTGAGGTCATGTTGTGTCTTCTAACATATTACATGCCATTCCTTTAAACATAATGTGTCTTAATATTGGTTTTTGGATGTGTGTGTCCTCCATGCCGCCTGTTCCAGATCAAACTCAGCACCTCCCCTTCGACAACTGCAGACATTGTAAGAAGACCTGTAATATCAAACACTACATGTGAGACGTTTTAAGGATCAGCATGAACCCTGATTAACTGATTATAAACCCTCCTGATGAGAGCTGAAGCAGAAACTTGAGTCAGGTATGTAACGGCAGCATGTCCACGTGGAGCGGGGCGGTTGCAGCAGAGCGAGCGGCTGCAGTGCGGGTGGATCCTGCTCTGTTAAATAATCATGATGAATAATGAAGGTGTGAGTGGGCCTGGCAGATCTCCCCTCCTGGGCGGACATTTAGTGTCAACCTGACAGGTCTCAGCGCAGCTCGGGGACGACGGGGGGATGAAGTTGTCTCCATATTAAGCAGCCACATTAGACCTGTTAAACGGAGGGCAGCGTGGCGAGGTGCAGCACGCGGACCTCCGAGGTCTGAATCTCATCAGGTGAGGCCGGGCGGAGCTGCGGCGCCTCCACCAGCACCTCACGTCTTCCGCAAACTGGAAGTGACCCCGCGCTTCTGCCAGCCTCCGCCGCAGCTAAGCCCGGCCCTTCCCATCATGCACAGGGGCAGCAACGAGCTCCCATGAGCCCGGGCTCGCTCCCTGCCATCTGCCGTGATTTATAGAAAACGGCCGATGATTTATGGGCCAGTCATCTCACAATGAAGTTGTTCTCTTTCATTTGCACGACCTCCCGACCCAGCCGCCACTCCCAGCCAGGTTGGGGAAATGCGCGCTAATCATACACTATGAGGCCTTTAAACAGGAGGAGCTGCGCGGGTGGAGGTGGAGGTGGAGGAGGAGGAGGAGGAGGAGGAGGGGGGCTGCAAACAGAGGGCCTTTAATGAAATTAATTTTCAAGAGCGTGTGCATACTGATGAAACAGGCAGGCCTCTGCGACGACACACGGCCACCGCTGAGAGATGCTAACAAAGCCGTTTCAAGGACTGACGGCAGGGAGGACCGCCGCCGCCGCCCCGCTTTGATCCACCAATGAAACGGCCCATTAGGAGCCAGTGATCCAGGGACGTGTTTAAAGATTTATACAGTGTTGGAGAGCAGCCTGTAAACCACAGCGTCCAGCTGTAATGACCAGCACGGCTCCATCACATCAGATCAGCGCCGCAGGGACGCCATCTTCATTAGGTTAACATCCACCTCCTCACCTGAGCGTCTCAGGACGGTCACCTGAGCGTCTCAGGACGTCCACCTGAGCGTCTCAGGACAGGCACCTGAGCGTCTCAGGACGGTCACCTGAGCGTCTCAGGACAGCCACCTGAGCGCCTCAGGACGTCCACCTGAGTGTCTCAGGACGTCCACCTGAGCGTCTCAGGACGTCCACCTGAGCGTCTCAGGACGGTCACCTGAGCGTCTCAGGACGGTCACCTGAGCGTCTCAGGACGTCCACCTGAGCGTCTCAGGACGTCCACCTGAGCGTCTCACTTTAGTCACCTGAACAGAGACAACAGATGTCGTGGACAGAATGTCTGGTGCCTTTAATTTCTCTCCTCAGTGAGGACATGGGTGGATCAGGAGACAACAGGCCCCTGGGCACAGATATAAAAAAAAAGGCCCCACCACCTCTACTACAAGACACACAGACCGTGTGCTGGCTTTGTGTTGTTTTGTTTTTGTTATTGTTTTGTTTATTTATTATGTTTATGGGCGACATCTTTGTTTATTATTTTATTTTATGTTATTTATTTGCTGATTTGTGTCTCTTTGTAGCTGTTTTTTGTCTCTTTGCAGTTATTTTGTCTCTTTGCAGTTGTTTTTTGTCTCTTTGTAGCTGTTTTTTGTCTCTTTGCAGTTATTTTGTGTCTCTTTGTAGCTGTTTTTTTGTCTCTTTGCAGTTATTTTGTGTCTCTTTGCAGTTGTTTTGTGTCTCTTTGTAGCTGTTTTTTGTCTCTTTGCAGTTGTTTTGTGTCTCTTTGCAGTTGTTTTTTGTCTCTTTGCAGTTGTTTTGTGTCTTTTTGTACCTGTTTTTTGTCTCTTTGCAGTTATTTTGTGTCTCTTTGTAGCTGTTTTTGTCTCTTTGCAGTTATTTTGTGTCTCTGTGGTTGTTTTGTGTCTCTTTATAGCTGTTTTTTGTCTCTGCAGTTATTTTGTGTCTCTTTGCAGTTGTTTTGTGTCTCTTTGTAGCTGTTTTTTGTCTCTTTGCAGTTATTTTGTGTCTCTTTATAGCTGTTTTTGTCTCTTTGCAGTTGTTTTGTGTCTCTTTGTGGTTGTTTTGTGTCTCTTTATAGCTGTTTTTGTCTCTTTGCAGTTATGTTTTGTCTTTTTGTGGTTGTTTTGTCTCTTTAAAGTTGCTTTGTGTCTCTTTATAGCTGTTTTTGTCTCTTTGCAGTTATTTTTTGTCTTTTTGTGGTTGTTTTGTCTCTTTAAAGTTGCTTTGTGTCTCTGCTTAGTCATTTTGTGTGTCTGTCATTGTTTTGTGTCTCTTTATCAGTGTTTTGTGTCTCTTCTTAGTCATTTTGTGTCTCTTTGTGGTTGTTTTGTGTGTCTGATGTCATTATCTTTCTCCTTGGTATATTACATTTCATTTGTATAAACACAGAAAGGTGTCCCAATATAAGGTGAAGGCAAAGCTGTGATCACAGGTGATATTTACAGAGCCTTCACCCTCTGTTCAACAGCCTCATCCTGAATCATATAAATACACTTTAAGTTTATATCTTCAATAATAATCTACTGTTTGATTTAGTTTTTCTCGCAGACATGAATATGTTTTAAAAATGTCCTTACACCTGTTCAAATCAAGAAGGCCTTGCAGCCCTTCATGAGGCTCTGGCGGCCCCTAGTGGGGGGCCAGGACCCTCAGGTTGGGAATCAGTGTAACAGAACGAGCCGAACCTCAGTTACAAATGTAGTTTTTGCATCTTTCTGCTGCACAGACAGTTATGAAAACAACATTTCAAACAATGGAACTTAAAATATGAGACAGTACAGACAGACAATAGTTAAAAATGATGTCACACACAGGAAATAATCTGCCCAAAATGTGTCCAAATCACTGACATACAAATCAGAAACATTAAAACTGATTCATGAGTGAAAATCAAACTGTGAAACACTGAGAATCTGTCAAAGGGACATATTTACCCATAGTTCATAAATAACCCTGAACAGTGACATCACAGCAGAGAGAAAGTACAGAGCGCCATCTGCTGGTCACTCTCTAAACTCTGACTCCACTGTGACTGAACCTACAGTCAGGAGATTAAACACAACAGCTTTATTTAAACTACATGTAAATATTCAATAGATTAAATGACTAACCTCTCAGATGACCTTCACAGTGATGTGAATGTATGTGTGTGTGTGTGTGTGTGTGTGTGTGTGTGTGTGTGTGTGTGTCTGTGACGCTGAAGCTGCTGTGCAGAGTCTGCTCACACACACACCTTTGTCTCACTGATGACTCCTGATACACAACACCTGGAACTCATCCTGCAAGGTCACCTGGGAAATAGAGTTCACATGTCTAGTTTCTACCACAGGAGCCACACAGACACTGGAACAAGTACTGACATACTGTGCTGGAGTAAAAGTACCTGAACAACAACACGACAGGTAAAAGTCCTGAAGCTAAACTTCAAGTATCGTCAGCTTTGTGTAGTTCGAGTGTTTAAAATACTGCAGTATAATTAGCTTTATGTAGTTAAAGTACTTTAGTATTCTCAGCCTCATGTAGTTAAAGTACTTTAGTATTCTCAGCCTCATGTAGTTAAAGTACACAGGTATTAGCTAACAGTACTTAAGTGTTAACAACTTCATTTAAAGTATCAGCAGTAAAAAAGTACTTAAGTATTAAAGGCTTTGTGTAGTTAAAGTAATAAAGTATCAGTATTTAAAGTACTTGAGTATACTCACCCTCATGTAGGTAACGTAACAGCTTCATGTAGTTAGCAGTAAAAGTAAAATCAGTCCATCTACCTACCTATCGATCCATGTACCTCCCCAACGAACTACCTATTGATCTACCTACCTACTTATTGATCTATCTACCTATTGATCTACCTACCTACCTATTGATCTACCTACCTACTTATTGATCTACCTATTGATCTACCTACCTACTTATTGATCTATCTACCTATTGATCTACCTACCTACCTATTGATCTATCTACCTACTTATCGATCTATCTACCTATTGATCTACCTACCTACTGATCTACCTACCTACCTATTGATCTATCTACCTACCTATCGATCTATCTACCTATCAATCCATGTACCTCTCAGAAGAGCTACCTATCAGTTTACCTACTTACCTACCAATCTACGTGTCTCTCCAATGAGCTGTCTATTAGTCTACCTACCTACTTATTGATCTACCTGCCTACCAACCTATCGATCCATGTACCTCCTCAAAGAGGTATCTATCAATCTACCTACCTACTAATCTATCTACGTATCTCTCCAACGAGCTACCTATTAATCTATCTACCTATTTATCTACCTATCGATCTATGTACCTCCCCGATGAGCTACCTATTGATCTACCTACCTATCGATCTATCTACCTACCAACCTATCGATCCATGTACCTCCCAAAGAGCTACCTATTTATCTACCTGCCTACCTATTTATCTACCTGCCTACCTACTGATCTACCTATCTACCTATTGGTCTACCTCGATCTATATACCTCCCAAACAATCTACCTACCTTTCGATATAAATAGACAGAGACGTCAGTTGAAGTCTGATAGTTTATTTATAAGTTGTGTAAACATAAATAAATGTTGTTGTTGTGATAAACAAAGACAGAGACGTCAGTTGAAGTCTGATAGTTTATTTATAAGTTGTGTAAACATAAATAAATGTTGTTGTTGTGATAAACAAAGACAGAGACGTCAGTTGAAGTCTGATAGTTTATTTATAAGTTGTGTAAACATAAATAAATGTTGTTGTTGTGATAAACAAAGACGGAGACGTCAGTAGAAGTCTGATAGTTTATTTATAAGTTGTGTAAAGTTCTATCGGGGTGAAAGAGAACCAAACATGTAAATATATGTACAGTCATACACGGGGAAAAGAGAAAACATAAATATCGTAGAGCATGAAATAAAACTCGTCAACTCAAAAACAAACGGGAGCCATGCACCGTGAGCGGCGTCGCCATGTCACCACCAGCTCAGTGACATCACTGCGTCTGACGTCAGCGCCGTCAGACGCAGCTAGTCGTAGTGTTAGTACAGGTTAGTAGTTTACACCCAAAGGCACAGGAAATCAAAGTACGGCTGTAAATTTGGAGTCGCCTCGATGGCAACACGTTCAGATTCCTGGACAGGAAGTGCACATGCGGACGTAGTTTCCAAGTTGTAGTTTTAAGTCACACTGTACAAAGAGTAAAGGGAGATGACTTTCAGTGGCCGATCGCCGGAGGACGACGAGCCGCAGCAGGAGACTTCAACATTCAGTCCAGAGGTCAACGCTCATCGTGCCGTCACATTCTCACGCTGAGAGGAGACGACGGGCGGCGGTACAGTACGTTAACAGTCCGAGTGCGTCTGAGGAGATTAAATAAGGCCTGGAAATATTCAGTAACAGCATCCTAAACTTTACAGGGTTGACACGTCGCGTTAAAGACATGTGTAGGGAACTACGATTGTTCTTAGTGACGTTCACACGGATGCCACGATCATGTCTCACGCCAGGCGCCAAAAGGAACGGTCGGCATTTAATGCTCCTGCAAACAAATCAGTGGTTTGCAGAAACGTACAATGCCAACAGTTCTTCTGGCTTTTTGGTCGGGACGTCTTTATGGTAAATATGACGCTATTAGCTGCTTAGCTTAGCTTAGCTTAGCATAAAGTCTGGAAACAAAATTACACAGGGTTGAATGTTTAAACAGTCCCAGGGACAAAAACAAACCACACAGAAAAGGCCACTTTTAATATCATAAAAATAATAACTGATTATCATTTAGTTGTTTTTTTTAATATTCCTTTGGTTGTGCAATAATAATAACAAATACAATGTTTTTTACGATCTTCTTATTTCTGCCAGAGACACAAAGATTACAACAGTTGAAGAATCACCCAAATTAACATTCAGTCTATTTTATACATTCACTTTAAATATTCTCATGTGCACCCAAAATGTTGCCGTAATCCTAAATCTGTAAGAATACGTTCATTTATTTACTGGCTGTTTGACAAAAAGTGAGCAGGCATTTAAGTAAAAAATAAATACTAAATTTTATAGTTTCTTTTTTGTAGATAGTGATAGTCTTTGGGCTGTTCATCAGACAAATTTTTTCATTATTTTTAATTATTCTATACGCATAAAATTGATCACAATGATTTTTTTAATCTAAGTTTACTAAAAATAAACAAATAAAAGAAAAAGCAGCTCAACACAGCACGAAATGGGGGAAAAAATTGCTGTAGTGAACACTGGGATCATATAAAACTCTAAATGTGCTCCATCTGTCAAATTTTCATTTTCAGTGTAATTATTTATTTATTTATTTTTACTGAAAGATCCGAAGAATTTGAATTTTTTTTATTCTTTATTTTTGTATTTAAATATTTACATTTTTTTTTATTTTTGTCCAATTGTTTGTTTTTATTTATGTTTCTTTTTTTGTCCAATTGTTTTTATTTTATGTATTTTTTTCCAGTTTTGTCCAATTGTTTTTTTTTATTAATTTTGTCCCCCCATTTTTAACCAATTTGTTTTTTTTTTCCATTTTTGTCTAACTGTTCTTTCGTTCTTTTTTGTCCAATTGCTGTTGTGTTTTATTTGCCTTGTCAAATAAATACCTTTCTTTTTTTAAATAATGGCTGATACAGTAAAATAATTGTGAAAAAAATTCAGGTTGTCGAAATCATTTTGACACCAGGTTCTGAACAAGCTGCAGTACAGAGGACCTGTCAGGCTTTAGAAGAAGAAACTTCAGTGGTGCAAATTTCCCCCTTTGTCTTTATGCTAAGCTAAGCTAAGCTAAGCTAAGCTAACAGGCGGCAGCTTCATATTTAGTGTCCAAACATGAAGGTGGCATCAACATTCTCATCTCATATCGTATTTCCTGAAATCTTTACTTAAACACGACGTCACCCTCCTCTGTAGCGTTCCTTTCAACCACCAGGAAACTTTAAATACTTCAGTCAGTACGTTTTGGTCGTGGTAACGGCGGCTTCCTGTTGAGCCGCGGCCGCACGTTGGAGTTGTTAGGCGCGTTAGTTAGTGTTATAATAAGCAGCAGTAACATTTCATTATAGGTGCACTTTATAAAAACACGAGGACACGTCTGTACACTGACGAGCGAGAGCGTCTCACGGGAGAACACGTGCAGATTCTTACAGTGCTGCGACGTTTAAAATCCACGCTGGATTTCTCAGAGTTTATTGCTAATGTCCGAACATCACGCGCTCTCTTTCATCGTCCGCTTGACTTTAAGTTACGCTGGCACAATTCATCACTTCGCTTTGAGTAGCAGCCAATCATTCAGATTGTCAGTCCTTCTGTCTGATTGACGGCATACGGAGGACCAAGTATGACAAACGCATCAGTAAATAACTCAATAAATAGATACAGGGATTAAAATTAATAAACAAAATCTAAATAAATAAAATAATACATAAATATATAGAAATAAATAAATGCATAAATAATTTTAATTGTGGAAAAGTAAAGAAATAAAATCAATATATTCATTTATTTTTGTTCTGTTTAATTATCTAATTAATTTATGCATTTATCCATTTATTTAAATCTATTTTTACATTAATTATTTTGCATTTATTTCAGCATTTATTTGTTATGTATAATTTATTTACTTTTTTATTAATCCCCGTATTTTTAAAATAAATTTATTTATCTATTTATTTATTGATAACTGCGTCATCTTTGGTCCTCCGTACATTTTTGCCCGTTTGCTCAAATATTTCACATTTTAAAGGTCGTAGTGATTTACATTCAATTTAGGAACAACTGATTCAGAAGAACACACTGTCAGCAGCAGTTACACTGATACTGTCTCTGACACCTTGATATTGACCTTTAAATGACCTTTGAGGTGTAATATATAACACATAAGATATATTACAGTATTTTGGAATGAGACTTAACAGATCACAGTAGTGTTGACTCGACAGCCTGTAAGACAGCAGACATCTAAACCAATGAACTCCCAGTTTGGACACGACTGGGCCGTTAGCTTCACATCGCTCTGAGACGGCAGAGACGAAACATCTCGGCCGTCCTTCAGTGGTTTGATTGCGTTTATCTAAAAATCATAAAACTGTTATTTCTCAGCTGAGTCACTAGAAATCGATTAAAAATCCACCGTATGATTCATTTATTGAAATATGTACAGAGGTGACGAATCAGATCCATGTGACGCTCATCAGGTAAAGTTTACATTTAAATCAATTAAATTCACGATTGTTTTAATTTACAAATAAACATTTTAATAGTTTTAACAGCTGTTGTATTTTTCAATGACATTGTTTAAATGTGTTTGGTCCAACAACACCTTACTGGTCTTACTGGTAAAAATTCGAGAATATTCTTCTAGTTTTATGCATCATAGTTACGTCACAATGTGAATTTAAATTTCAATCTCAAAATGAATGCAGAATTTGTGGCTATATGTTGTAATGAAAATAGTTTAATAATATGAAAGAGGGTTCAGGAAATTAAATTTGAGGGAATTTGAAAGAAGTGGAAAATGTTTATTATCCTGTTTAAATTTGTTTACTTGTGTCTGTAATACTATTAAAAAACTGAAAAAAAAAAAGACGTAACTATTGTGACGTGCAAATTTCAGACGAAGGGCAGGAAGTGATAAATCCACATCCTGTGGAACTGGCATCCTGGTCTCACAAATTTTTCGTATGTTTTCCTACGAAAAGTAACGCACGCAAATTCATACTTATCCCACGAACTTTATAAGGCTGCGATAACGGGACCGATGTGGCGACGACGTTAAACAAGGAAGCGCTACCAAGTGGTCGTGCAAGGGTGGCAAGTTGGGTGGTCGATGGGTCACAAAAAATCAGACTTTCGCTTGGTGAACTTTGAGTCTTTTAAAGGTTCGTCATCACCATGTTTGTTTTCCCAAACCTAACCTCTGTAACTTTACGTTAATAATGTAACTGTACATTAAGTAAACGGCCAAGATGGCAGCTGCAGAAGGACCGCGTCCATTCAGTTTAGCTTTGGAAGAAACGCTAAGCCAACTATCTTTTTCCTTGAGAGAGGAACAGAAGACTGCACTAGAAGCCTTCGCTTCCAGGAAGGACGTTTTTGCCGTTTTGCCGACAGCATACGGCAAAAGCATAATATATCAGTTAGCCCCACTGGTCGCCTTTTGCTCTGATTGGCTATCGTGCTATCCAATTGCATGCGGTGGCATTTAATATGCCTCAGTTAGTGCCGCCCCTTGGGTAGGAAGGGTGTATCGGTGAGGGCCAGACTCAAAATCTTTCTAGATCTGAGTCTGGATTTCCAGGCTAGGTCGAATCGCCAGCGGCTGGTTTTACAACGTCAGGCTTTTAGTGAAGTCCGCTGGTCGAGTCAAAACATTTGACATCAGCTGACTTAAAATGGCCCCTGTTTTTTTCCCAATTTGATGGATTGAACAGACGTAAACACGTTTGTTCAGACTTGTTCAGTCCCAAATTTGCACTTACTGCATTTTTTAATTGTTTATTTATCAGATTTGTTTGTTATTTGGGTTTTGGGGATTTTTCTGGATGTTGGGGGCCCAAATGAAAGCTTGCCCTGGGCGCTAAATCTGATTGGTCCGGCCCTGCAAGTTACAATTAAAACCATACTTTACGTCACTATAAAAATGTTTCATCATTCAGCTGTTGTTCCTTTGTTCATTTCATTTGTTTGTTATTTTATCTTTGGTTAGTTTGTAATGTATATAACAAGTCTTATTTTTTTTTCTGGATGTTGGGGGGTCGGGGCCCCACCACAAGCTTGCCCAGGGCGCTGAATTTGCTAGGTCCGGCACTGCGAGTTAAAAATTATATTTGATTTCAACATAAAAATGTTTCATCATCCAGCTGTTGTTCCTTGTTAATTATATTTGTTTGTTATTTCGGTTGATTTTCTCTTTATTTTTTATTCCTTGTAATATATGAAACATTTTTTTATATTTTTTCAGGAGGGTCGGGGGCCCCAGCGGAAGCCCACCCAGGGCGCTAAATCTGCTTGGTCCAGCCCTGTGAGTTACAATTAAGCTTAAAAACTGAGATTTGTAATTGGTTATTGACCTGATGGGCGTCACACGGAGCAAATGAAACCCTCTAACACCTGTAAAATGATTTGTCCTTTAAATAAAACCTGGTGCTGGTCGTTGGGCCCAAAATCAACTCACTGTAGTGCTTCACATCATTGGCCAGCCAAATGATCATCCAACGCAAACTAACATCAACTTCACATTTTGATCTTTTAAAGCTAAAATGTTTTATATTAAGGAGACTCGTTCTTCTTCTCTTGTACTTTAAGAAACCAGTGACACATTAATGTTCAGATGGACCCTTTAAAGACGCTGGCGCCGCTCTCTGTGGCTCAAACGTCCTCACGTGTTCCTTTAAGGTTGATCCACCAGGTTGGATGAGGCAGTAGTTCAGGAAGGAGGAACATGGTTCAAAGCTCTTTACATTCAATACACAGTCAGGTCTGAAGTGGACGTTAAACACGTGGATACTAAAGAGGAGTACAAATACTGATATAGCCACAGGGTGCTCCTGCGCTCAGAGGAAGGAGCAGACTCACCTCAGGTCCCAGGAGCGAGGAGGAGGAGGAGGAAGAGGAGGAGACAGAGGTTCCTACCATCCATGGAAGATAAAAGTCTTAAGGCTCATGACTCTAGCGCTGACAGAGGACGTCTCAGCCGCCTCCTTCCTCCCAAAAACAAGCACCTCCTCATCTTCCTCAGCAGGAGGAGACTGGATGGGAGGAGGCGCCTGCTCCTACACAGAACATCTAGATTAAATCATGATCCTTTTTGTGTCGTCTGATGGAATGAAACGTGGTGATGAAGTTGATGAGGAGGAGGGCTGGGCGTGGGCGGAGTTAGTAGGAGGAGATGTCGGAGGAGCTGCTGCTGTTGCTGGTGGAGGTCTGAGCCCTCTTGATGTACAGGTTGAGCAGCTTCATCTGAGGAAGGAGAACAGGAGGAGGGTTAGACGACTCCACCTCTGAATACAGGAACAAATAAATAAATCAATATGGGAAAAAATATAAATGTATAATTAAGACAAAAAAATTAATAAATAAATGTAGGAATAAATACAGGAATACATACATGTCTACATAAATATCGGAATAAATAAATAAATAACCACACCACAATATATAAATCTAGAAATATAGAAATAAATAAGTGTAGGCATAAATATGAGAATAAAAAAATAAATAAATAAATACCATATTAAATGCAGAAATGTTTCAATAGATACAGCACTTAAATAAATAAATATACATATAAATAAATTAATAAATAAGTGTAATAAATACAATAAATAAATAAATAAATAACGAAAGAAAAACCCATAAAAGTATAAATATACAAATAAAAAAATATACTGGGATAAAAAGACAAACAAATAAATACATAAATAAATGGATGAATTAATGTAGGTATATATAAAGGAATAAATAAATTAATATACAGAATTAAATGAATAAATGTGTAAATAGATATGGCACTAAAACAAATAAATACATGACTGAATAAATAACTGTCACAATAAATACACTGAATAAATATCTAACAATAGAAAAAAATACATAAATGTGTAAATATATATCAGAATGAATAAATAAATAAATAATATGGAAAACATTATAAATGTATAAATAAATACCAGAATAAGTAAATAAATGAATAAAAAATATGGAAAAAAGTATAAATAAATACCAGAATAAGTAAATAAATAAATAAAAAATATGGAAAAAATTATAAATGTATAAATAAATACCAGAATAAGTAAATAAATAAATAAAAAATATGGAAAAAATTATAAATGTCTAAATAAATACCAGAATAAGTAAATAAATAAATAAAAAAATATGAAAAAAAATATAAATGTATAAATAAATACCAGAATAAGTAAATAAATAAATAAAAAAATATGAAAAAAAATATAAATGTATAAATAAATACCAGAATAAGTAAATAAATAAATAAATAAAAAATATGGAAAAATTATAAATGTATAAATAATACTAGAATAAGTAAATAAAAAAATAAAAAAATATGGAAAAAATTAGAAATGTATAAAAAATACCAGAATAAGTAAATAAATATAAAAAATAAATACACTAAATAAATGATTAAAGGTAGGAATAAATATTAAATAAATGACTAAATAAGGCTAGGAATAAATACACTAAATAAATAAACAAATTAATGTTTAAATAAATACAGGATTAATTAAGTAAATACGTAAATAATTAAATAAATAAATGTAGGAATAAACACCAGATTAAATAATAAATTAACACAGATACAAATAAATCAAAGAAAAATAAATGCTGAAAAAAATAAATAAAAGAACACAGATAAATGAAAAAAGGCGCATGCATAAATAAACAAATACATAAATGTTATTATATTTTTGCTGTACTCAGGACTGTTAACAAAACATCGAGGACAAGAACCTATCGTTCAGTGAGAGACAGGAAGTGAGCGCACCTTGCTGCCGGTCAGCTGAGCCAGGTACGGCTTCAGCTCCTCTCCAATCACAGAGTAGATGGCGACGAGGCAGAAGACGCTGGCCTTCCTCACGCTGCTCTCCGTGTTGTCGTAGCCCTGAAACATCACACCATGTTGAGTTAGCGCTCTCAGTCTGCAGAGTACGTCTCATAACATCTACTGTATCGACCACAAATGGCGTCCGACCTGCAGCAGCCCGGGGATGATGTCAGACAGCAGCTGATGCAGCGGCTCCTTGGCGATGCGTTCGATGGCCCTCGTCTGCATCTTGATGGCGGCCAGGTTGATGGGGTAGTCGGCCGTCTGCACGATGGGACACAGGACCTTGATGCACTGCTCTGGGTGGATGGAGGCCGCCAGCGTGGAGGCCGCCTCCTCTGCCGCACGCACCACCTGCACAGACCACGGAGAGCGTGATGCCAGCTCTGTGTCACAACATGTCTGCAGTGTGTGTGTGAATGAACTGTGATGTCAGACAGTGTGTGGACGCTCGACTCCTCACCTCCTTGTGCGAGTCTTTGTGAGCCTCCAGCGTCTTCATGATGGTCAGCTCGGCGTAGTTCTTGAAGCGGGCCGGCTGGTTCCTCAGGATCTCCTTCAGGACTCGCAGGGCCAGCGCCCGGATCGTGTGCTGAGGGAGACACGAGTGCATTCAGGGTCACAGTTCTCTACAGAGCGTCTCACAGAGGATCAGACAGGTGTTCGGGGTCTTACGTCTTTGTCTCCGAGCGTCTCCAGCAGCAGCAGCAGCATGGTCTTGAAGTGTTCCTCCCACACCACCAGGCTGTCCTCGCGTGCCACTTTCAGCAGCTCCAGCAGGGTCCCCCGCCGCTCCTCGGGGCCCCGCTCCCCGCCTTGGCCCTGGGAGAGCTCCTTCAGCAGCTCGCCGACCAGCTGCAGCTGCTCGGCGGGTCCTGCTGCGGGAAGAGGACGTGTGTGTTACTTTGGTTACAACAAACAGACGCCACGTTGTGGAAAGGACTCCATGATGTGACGTGGGTTTACCTGGGAAGCTTTTGGGGCTCACGATCTTGTTCTCGACGCACTCTTGTCTCCCGCCTGCAAAGAAACATGTCATTTAAAAGACGACAAAGCAAAACGCCAACGTGAGGTCGACGTCTGAGCTCCTGCGGTCTCACCGTCTCGCAGCTGCTCCACAGCGTCCTCGTACAGCGCCTCCTTCAGGGCAGCTTTATCCAGCGTGCTGATGCTGTCCGTGTAGTTGTACGGGTTGTAGTCTCTGAAGCGCGGGCCGGCGAAGGAGCGCGGGGACGGCGTGTTCAGCAGCGACGTCTTGTTGTCCAGGGCGGTGCGTCCTCCCCCAACGACGTCGGAGTCTGAGGACGCTCCGACTCCAGACTGAAGGATGACATCATGACATCGTTAGCTAACATGACTGGACGGTAAAAGATACTCACACTCACACTCAGAAACGGATTTTGTGACCTGCAAAATGCTTTGTGTGGTCGATGCCTTCAGGCAACGAACGCCACGTCACAAAAAATACGTCCCCATTAATTTTAACGTACACCCCCACACCAAATGCAACTGACGCAATCATCAACACAAACACTAGCTGCAGCCCTCCTCTGTCCATCTTTGTCCTCACCATGCCGTCCCTCTTGCCGTCCCGCCTCAGCGGCTCCATCAGGTCCTCCTGGCTGCGGAAGCTGAAGTTCTGGATGGCCTCGGTGACGCCGCGGAGAGAGCTGTAGATCTCCTCCGAGTTCAGATTCTCACTGTCGTACTCCAGCATGCTGCAGCGTGGGAGAGACGAGACGAGACGTGAGAGCGTGTTCTGCTACGGCAACTTACGGTCTACAGTCTGAGGGGAACAGGACATGATCATGTGGGACTTTGGTGCTTGGAACAATCCCTGAAGACTCTTGGAGGAAACTTTATATCTCGGAGGATTAAACCTCACGAGCCTGACCTACAGACGCTAAGGTGCTTCAGATCAGAGGCTCAGTCGCCATGGACACTTTCCTAGACATGGACCAAACTGATATTTTGGTGTTGAAACTATCCAGACTTTCAGAAACACAACAGAAGAGCTTCAAAGGTCCGAAACTCAAAGTTCAAGCACTGCCGTCCGCTCTGTCTGCGCAGCACAGTGCACGTGCATAGCCGTGCATGTGGACAAAGGTAGAGACGAACAGGTGAGTCAAGCACAGAGACGCTGACGACATGTTTTCTCACCTGAGAGAGTTAAAACAGAAACAAGCGAATGGAGAGTGAGAGACAGTTTGAGCAGATGGAGGCACAAATGGCTGCAGCAGAGGTGACGGCTGATGAGACAGTCGGTGAGTTTCAGAGGTTTCACAGCACAAAGAGAAACAGCTTCAGTCAGCTGATGAGGATTTGTTTCATTCCTAATCATGTAGCCGTGTCGAGCATGACGAGAATGAAATGGACACAAGGTCACACTGACCGTGATGACTGACCACCAAAATCTAGTCAGTTATTTTTTTGAGTCCACAAGTAAATTTGTGCTAACTTCAAAGCCTTCTTAAGATACCGTGTTTACGAGAATGAGCCAGACACAAGGTCACAGTGACCTTGACCTTAGACCACCAAAATCTAGTCAATCACTGAGTCCAAGTGGACATTTGTGCCAAATTTGAGGAAATGTCCTCAAGGCATTTTTGAGATATTGTGTTAACGAGAATGAGACGGACACAAGGTCACAGTGACCTTGACCTTTGATTACCAAAATCTAGTCCGTTATTTTTTGAGTCCACAAGAAAATTTGTGCTAACTTCAAAGTCTTCTTAAGATATCATGTTTACCAGAATGAGACGGATACAAGGTCACAGTGACCTTGACCTCTGACCACCAAAATCTAATGAGTTTGCGCTTGAGTCTGAGTGGATGTTTGTGCCAAATTTGACAGCCTGAGATATTGCGTTTGTGCCAAATTTGAGGAAATTCCTTCAAGGCCTATAAGAAGATGTTGTGTTAACGAGAATGAGCCGCACACAAGGTCACAATGACCTTGACCTTTGAACACCAAAATCCAATCAATCACTGAGTCCAAGTGGACATTTGTGCCACATTTGAGGAAATGTCATCAAGGCCTTTTTGAAGTATCGTGTTCATGAGAATAAAATTGACACAAGGTCACAGTGACCTTGAACTTGACCTGTGACTACCAAAACTTAATAAGTTAATCATGAAGTCCAACTGAACACTGGAGCCAACTTTAAGGAAACATCCTCAAGGAGATCTTGATATATTCCGTTCACAAGAAGGAGACAAACTAAGTCACAATGACCTTGAACTTTAACCTTTAACCACCAAAATGTTATCAGTTCATTGTTGAATTCAAGTGGACGTTTGTGCCAAATTTGACAAATTGAGATATCGCGTTCACAAGAATGAAACAAACTCCAGGTCACAGAGACCTTGATCTTTGAACACCAAAATCAAATTAGTTCATCCTTTTTTTTCCCACAAGAATGGAAGGTCACATCATACAGCTGTACTGTGAAACCCCATGACAGGGAGGAGGAGGAGGAAGGGAGGAGGAGGAGGAAGAGAGGGGGTGGGGGTTACCTGGGTGAGAACGCTCGCCGCACTGCCTTGAGGGAGGAGTGGGCAGTGGGTGGAGTGAGAGGGGAGGGGAAGGGTGGAGGAGGGAACTTGGAGAGCCCGTCAGCGCTCCAACCCCACAGCCGACTGCAACCAGCCGGGGAGGAAGAGGAAGAGACGGAGGGAGGAGGAAGAGGAGGAGGAAGAGACGTAGGAAGGGAGGAGAGCAGCCCAGAGAGAAAATACAGATGTGAGAAAATAAGGAGAAGCACTGTTTTCACTTTCATGCTGGTAAAACTCTAATGTGGCGTAAAATAATCTGTTATTAACAGAAAATCATTTAAGGTGTAACTCTACGGGAGATAAAAGCTGCCAAAACTAAAAGTAAATGACTTGATATTAATTAATATTTCATTAAAAATAAATGTAGGTGTGAATTACTGTTGAATTAATTCAATTTCCCTTTTATTTATGAACTTTTTGTTTTGTTATTGCACTTTTCATTCACTCAAAATTTATTTTTTAATTTATTTGTTCATTTCTAAATTTTATTTATTATTCACCCTTTGCATTTTCCCCTTATTTCCCCAATTCATGACCAAAAGGTGAATTAAAAAAAGAATCAAATTGAAACAGATAGAAAGTTTGATAGTGCAGTAATAAATAAAAAAAAAACATTTAAAATAAATAAAACTAAATGCAAAAACTGATCATTAAATTTAGAATTTAATAAAAAATAGATAAATGATAAATAAAAGAGAAATAAAAAGGGGAATAAATATATGGGTAAACAAATAAATAAGCAAATTAAAACAGAAAGAAAGTTTACATTTAAAAATACATTTAGAATAAAGAAAATTTAAATGCAAAAATAAATAGTTTTATTTTTTAATTTAATTAAATTTAATAAAATAAATAAACAATAAATAAACAAAGAAAAGAGAAATATATAAGGGGGTTAATATAAAGGTAAATAAATAAATAAGCAAATTAAAAAAGAAAGAAAGTTTAAGGAAATAAATAAGGGGGAAAATACATTTAAAAATACATTTAGTATTAAGAAAAATTAAATGCAAAAATAAGTAACTAATTTCTAATTTAATTAAATTTAATAAAATAAATCAACAATAAATAAAGAGAGAAAAGAGAAATAAATACGGGGATTAATACAAAGGTAAATAAATAAATAAGCAAATTAAAACAGAAATAAATGAGGCGGAATTACAAAGAAAAAATAGTATAGCAATAAATAACTAAACACAATATTTTTTTAATGTAAAAATAATTTAAAAAAAAATAGAAATTAAATGTAAAAATAAATATGTAATTTAAAACTTAATAAATAATAATAACAAATAGGGGATTTATAAACAAAGGTGAATAAATAAATGAGCAAATGAAAATAAAAATATAAATTTACATCACATCTATGTTATGTAAAATTTAGTATTATTTTTTTTGTACATTTAATGACATATTAATTTATATATTGAGTCATTTTGGGGGATCAAGCCTGAAGGGCTGAAATACTGTTGTTTTGTGCTGTATTTATTTATTCATTTACTTTCAAAAATGTTTTTTGCAAATGACCATAAGTTTGTACTTCGTAGATGAGATTTGCTCTGTTGAAGGGAGGCTGTATGTAGGTACTGCCTGTGGCCAGACGGGGGCGCTGTAGCTCTGAGAGCCTTGTGATGCAGAATACATGGTGGTGATGGAGGTGAGCTGCCAGTTGGATCAAATCAAACACAGCTCTGATACAGAGACATTAGTGTGTTTAGTGTCTGTGGGCTCCAGGTGCAGTGTGTGGCGTACCTGGGAGAGAGGCCGCCATGGGAGCAGTTGGTGGGTGATGTCAGAGGGCTGCTGCGGCTGCTGGGCTGCCGAGGAGGCGTCCGGCCTGCAGAGTTACTGGGAGACGCCTGCAGATCAACGAAACACACACACCTGGCTTCAGACATCTGGAGATGTGAGTGGCATATATGTGTGTGTGTGTGTGTGTGTGTGTGTGTGTGTTACCATGCTGATGCCGCTGTTGGCGCTGGCGTTCCTCAGGTGGTTGTGCAGCAGCTTGGTGGTCCCGTCCTGGAAGGTTTTGGGCAGGGCGCCCAGCAGCATGGTGAACTCCGGCGTGTTCAGCTCGAACAGTGCGATGAGCACCACCTGGGCTGCCTGCACACACACACACACACACACACACAAGTTACACACACGTTACACACACGTTAATTACCTTTAACTCCACCTGTGTCTCCGCTGCTCCCACGAGCTGTTCGACGGGTCAGTTGGAAGATTTTGGATATTTTTACTGCAGAGATTTTGCCGCCGTGAGCGCGACGAAGAGCGATCAGCTGACTCCTCTTTAGAAACCCAGTGAAACCAGAGGAAGGGAACACCTTGAAGGTGAATCTGAGAGTACACGCCGTGTTAAGAAGCAGGTGTGTTGCAGTGAACGTGCAGCATGTCCACTCAAATTAAATATCAAACGTTAAAGCAGAAGCCAGGACAAGCAGTTTCCACCCCAAGTCTTCGTCAGGGTAACTCGCACGTGTCGAGGTTTACGGAGGAGAGTTAAAGGTTTAGTTCAGTCGGTTAGTCTCAGACGTCAAACTGCAGCAGGTCATGCACAGACTGTTCTGAGTCCACTCTTTCTGACTTCACCCACGACAAGAGTCGACCAAACACAAACAGAACCATGACGTCATCCTCAAAACTTGATTTAAAGGGATAGTTCAGGTTGTGTGAGGAACTTATCCACAGCGGATCCCCCTCATTTTTTCATGCTCATATAGGCAGGAGACTGTGCGGTGCTCCTGTCTGCTTCTCCAAACTGATCGTCACCTCCTGTAGCTCACACACCGGCTGTGGATGAGTCCCTCACACACTTTAAAACACCTGAACTCTCCCTTTCCGAGCAGTTAGTGTTGGAAAGCGTTGGAAAGACATCCAGCAGCTTCCTGTCTGTCCCTGAGAGTCTCAGGCTGGGTTAGAGGACGTCATGCTGTCGTGGGGAGATTCTACCTGCTTGCACCTCTCCTCCAGGTTGCCCTCTCCAGGCAGAGAGGCCACGGTGCTGGGGCGGCCTGAGAAATCCTCCCCTGCCCAGTTATGAAGGGTCTGGGGGTGTGGTGGACAAGAAATGGCGATTGGACAAAAAAAAAAAAAAGACGTGAAAACGAAAAATGAAACCAAACGTACAAATAAAGAAACAATAAGGACACAAAGTTGTGAGAGAAGACGGAGGTGACACTGAGACGCCACACTGTACCGCCCCATCCTCCTACCTTGCGGACGTCGGAGCTCTTGGGCTCGGTGGTCCAGGTGATGATGCGTGACACGGCGAGGCGCGTCTCGCTGGAGTTGACGAAGTCGGCCGGGTCCATCTGGCGGGCGAGCGCCTCGATGTAGCGCAGGATGGCCACCTTCACCTTCAGGTTGGGCGTCTGCGTCTGATCCACGATGAAACGCATCAGGATGTTGAACTGCTGCTCATACGGGAACGACTCTCTGCAGAGGAACAGGAAATACAAAGAGATGCAGCGCTGGAGAAGCAGGAAGTATATTTGCAGAAAACTGAATAAATGACTCAATAAATAAATATAACAACAAAAATATAAAATTAATGTCGGCATTAATCAACTGATAAAATGTGTTTTAACTGACTTCTTTAGTTTACAGTATTTATCTTTGTATTAATTCCCCTATTTATTTTCTGTCAATTACTTTCTTAATTTTTCATTTTTTTTGTGTTTGTATTTTAAATGTATTTTTTTTTTTTTAAATTTAGTTTCATATTTATTTTTCATCATTTCTTTCCACTTCATTTTTAAATGCATTTATTTATTCATTTCCATATTATTTTCCCTCTGTATTTTACCCCCATTTACTCTCCCACCTTTATTTATTGATCATTTACTTAATTTTATTAATTTAAAATTTTCTTTTTTTAAAATTTATTTTAACTGTATTTATTATTCTTAATTTTATCTATTTATTAATTTTAAATTTGTTTTGTATTCATTATTTATTTAATTAAAAAAAATCAATTTCATCATTTTTAAATGTTTTTTTATTCATTATTTTACCCTCTATTTACCTCTCAAACTTCATTTATTTCTTGATTATTTATTTTTATTTACTTTAAGAATCTTTAAATCAGTTTAAATTAACATTACATTTATTTTCTAAAGTATTTTTTATTTTTAAATGTTTGTATTTTTTAAATTAATTTCTGTTATTTTCCCTTTGTATTTTCCTCCTATTTACTTCCCCAACTTTATTTATTTGTTTATTTATTTCTAGGAACTTTTACATTTATTTATTCATCTTTTTATTTATTTTATAAATGCAATTACTTTTTGTTTATCTTATCTAGTCATAGTATTTCCCCTCTATTTGTTTCCCCCAGTTTTTTTTTCATTCATCATGTAAATAGATGAATAATCATATTAAAATCAGATTATTAATTTATTTTATTATTATTTTATTTCAGCACATTTATTTGTCTTGTCATTTATTTTTGATTTTTGCAGCTTCTATTTCTCTATTTCCGGCCGGCAGCCCACCTGGTGACGTCCAGGGCCTTCTGGACTTTGGCCTGGACTGAGCCCAGCAGGTCAGCCCCCATCTTCTTCAGCAGCTGAGTGAGCAGCACGAAGAGCCAGTCCTGCAGGTCGTCCCTGTGCAGCGTGATGAAGTCCACCAGAGTCTCCAGGAACATGCTGAACACCTGAGAGAGGGAGGAAGAGGAAGAGGAGGAGGAGGAGGAGGAGGTCAGTGTAGCTGCGTTTGAGTTAAACATATAATGGTGCTGCTGAAGTCTGACAGGACGGTGGACTGTGGTGAGTCAGGTGAGTAAACACTTACTCTCTGGTGTTTGTTAGAGTCCGCAGCAGCGAGGAAGAGGAGGAGGAGGCATGCAACAAAAAACACACTCTGTTAGTTTGTCTTCAAGTTAGTGCTGACATGTGAGCAGTGAGTGTCACTCTGACTGTGGCGTGTTCATCATCATCATCATCATCATGGTCTGGGTGCAGCCTGCTGCTGTGTGTGTGTGTGTGTGTGTGTGTGTGAGAATCATGCTGTGTGCTGCTGAAGCTCAGCCGCCTCTCACCTTGCTGTGAGGGTCTGCAAACATCCTGGTGAAGATCTCACAGAGCCTCTTCAGCTCCACGCGGCTGGCGGAGCAAACACACGGCAGATTGTTTGATCATTTCAGACCGACTGAAGATCTTTCTGACAGTTTATAAGCAGATTTCTGATGCGTGTCACAGGTTTCTGGGTTTAATTTCTCCCGTGATGTCACCACCAACCACTGACGGACTGCTCCACACCCACCTGAGCATCCTCTGACTCTTCAGCAGGTTCTGCAGTCCCAGCAGCCCCTCCTTCCTCTCAGACCAGTTGGCGCTGGCGCAGTGGTTCAGGACCTCTGCCACGTCCTCCGTCTGACGCAGGAAGTGTGGCGCCATGCCCCCGTTCCGCGAGCTGTACGAGCGCTCGGAGCAGGCGCTGGAGGCGTCGCTGTTGGCGTCGTCATCTGAGTACATCCCCGGAGACTCAAAGCGCCGCCTCACCGGCCTCCGCTGGGAAGAAGAAGAGATGGTAGCAGGGTTTACAGACAGCACACTCTGATGTGGATCTAGCATGCAGCTACAGAGGCGGAGCCATGCGGCGTGCTGATGACGTGAGATGGACGAGGTTATTTCATGCTGTTCAGACTTTAATCACCTCTAACTGCAGAGATGATGTGAGACACACTTAAAGAGGACCTGTTAGGCTCATTACCATCAGGTTCATACTTGCATTTAAGTTTTCTACTGGGACATGTTTACATGCTTTAATGTTTTAAAAATCTTACTGTCTGTGCTAGAACACCAGTGTTCATCCTTTACTGAGACGCTCTTTTAGCCTCCCTCCTGAGAACAGTGGATTAGCGGAGAATAGCAACACTTTGTACCGTGAATACCACCAATAAAAGTCTGTCAACAAAATCAGACATGTTCCAGCAGGATAAATATCCATAATAAATCTGAAGGAATGAACATCTGCAACCAAGATGACATGCTTTCCTGATGTTAGCATGTTCCTAAATGTAGCAGTGTACTAGCTAAGGAATGACTGTAACAGAGTATAGCAGCACTTTCTACATTAACACAGATTAAAAATCACCAATATAAGCTTCTGAACACAACCACACATGATCCAACAGGAATGTGATCCAAACTCTGGAGGAAATTGATAACCAAGACCATATTTCCGGGATGTTAGCCTTCAGCTACATGTAGCGGTGTACTTGCAGCTGGAGAATGACTGTATTGTGACACTTTCTACCATGAAAAATAAGCAGCAATAAAAGCATCTAAACACAATTGGACATGTTCCAAAAGGAATATGATCAGAAATCTAGGGGAAATCGACAGCCACAATTACATGTTTCCTTAACGTTAGCAGTGTACTTGCAGTGGCACTTTCTACAGTGAAGAATCACCCCAAAAAAACCCTTCTAAACACAACCAGCCATGTTCTGACAGGAATATGATACAAAATCCGGAAGAAATTAACTACATCTGCAGCCAAGATGACATGTTTCCCTCTGTTGCTTCGCGTCAAATAGGAATTATGGACCCGGCCGTTACCATCAGCAACCAAAATTACATGTTTATTTGATGTTAGCATGTAGCTACATGTAGCAGTGTACTTGAAGCCAGGGAATGACTGTATAGAGAGACACTTTCGACTGCAAATAAAAGCTTCTAAGCACAACTGGATGTGTTCCAGCAGGAATATGAGCCAAAATCTGGGAAAAATAAACATCTGAGAAACAGGGGTTACGTTTCACTGACGTTAGCATGTAGCCAATGTACTTGCAGCCTGAGAATGACTGCAATGGCACTACATTGTCAAAAATCTCCAAAAAAAACCTTCTACACACAAACGTCTTCCTGCAGGAATATGATCTGAGATCTGGAGAAATTTATGTCAGCAACCAAGATGACATGTTTTCTGACGTTAGCATGTAGCTACATGTAGCAGTGTGCTTGCAGCCAGGGAATGACTGTGTATAGTGACACTTTCAACTGTGAAAAATCACCAATAAAAGCTTCTAAACACAACGGGCACGGTCTAATAGGAATAGGATCCGAAATCTGGAGAAATTAACAACCAAGATGAAGTGTTTGCTAGATGTTAGCTTGTAGCTACATGTAGCAGTGTACCTGCAGCCAGGTAATGACTGTATGTAGCGGCACTTTCTCCTGTTAAAAATGATCAATAAAAGCTTCTTAATTCAATCGGACATGTTTCAGCAGGAATATGATCCGAAATCTGGAGAAATTTACAACACTGGCAACCAAGATGACATGTTTCCCTGACTTTAGCATGTAGCTACACGTAGCAGTGTATGTAATGTAAACACTTGTGGTAGCCTGGAGTATTCAAAATGGTCTAAAGCCTGAGGGGTTTGCTCAAGGAAATTACTTTCTTATATGTTTACCTTATTATTTAAAATTTTGGATATGTTTAATATGACAGTCCAATATTGTAACATTAAATATATGACAGAAAATATGGAAAAGCACAACAGGTCCCCTTTAAGCAGTTGTGATTAGACAGAAAAGGAAAATCAGTGGTTGGAGTTGTGCAGCAGCTGATATCTTCTGTCAGAGTTTCCTTGACTGCATCCCAACCTGCTCACTCTTCAGTTTTATGAATGGAAAAGTCAGCGTTTAAAGTTTTCATGCAGTGACAGAAAGGTTCGACTCTGTTTCTGTACCTTATTCCTCGAGTCTCCTAACAGCTGAAATTTACAAAGTCCAGGGAGAAAGAGGAGAAAGGATTAAATTATATTATTATTCTGTAGTTTTCTTATTGACAACAAATATGATAAAAAGACCCAAACCAGCATGTTCGTCTGTCTCTAAACACTTTATAACTTCCTCTCAGCTTGATGGCAGTGAGTAATGGACAGAAAGTGTTTTATGCAGAATGTGATGATGTCACAGTGACACTGACCTCTGGGATATAAAATGTCATCACTTCTTTATTTTATCCTGTTAGACATTTGTGTTAAGTTTTGTCATAGTAAGCGCAATAATTCTTGAGTTAAGGCCAAAAACGTTCTTTATAAGGACAAACTGACCTCTGACCTTTTTGCACCAAATTCTAATCAATCTATTCTTGAGTCCAAGTGGGCCTTTGTGCCAAATTTGAGGAAATCCCTTAAGGTGTATTTGATATATCACATTGAGGAGAATGAGATGGATGCAAGACCACAGTGACAACCAAAATCTGATCAGTTCACAGTTGAGTGCAGATGAACGTTTGTGCCAAATTTGAAAAAGAAAAAAAAAAGTCCCTGAAGCTTTTCTTTAGATATTGCACTCACGAGAATGAGACACATGAGGCCACAGTGACCTTGATGTTTGACCTGTGACCACCAAAATCTAATCAGTCCATCGTTGGGTCCAACGGGATGTTTGTGCCAAATTTGAGGAAATTCCCTGAACGCCTTCTTGAGATATCATGCCCACAAGAATGAGGTGGACACAAAGTCACAGTGACCTTGACCTTTGTGACCACCACATTTTAATCAATTCATCCCTGACTTGAAATGGACATTTGTGCCAGATTTTAAGAAATTCCCTCAAATTCCCTTGTGATATTGCGTTCACAACAATGGGACATACGTATGTACGAACAATTTGAAATCCTAATGCCGGCGCAGAGGCATAAAAAGATAATTTATTTATCGTCACAGAAAATGAAAATGTGATGATAACAAAGGCACAATAATTTTGACCTTTCACCATCAAAATCTCATCAGTTTATTCTTCAGCCCAACTGGACGTTTGTGCCAAATTTGAAGAAATTTCCTCAAGGTGTTTTTGAGGCATGGTGTTAATGAGAATGAGAAGAACGCCAGGGCTCAGTGACCTTTGACCACCAGAATCTAACCATTTCATCATTGAGTCCAAGTGGACGTTTGTGCCAAATTTAAAAAGATTTTTTTCAAGGTGTTCTTGAGATATCGCATTCACGAGAATGAGAGATCAGGCTGTGATAGGCACCGCTGCTTTGAGTCTGAGCGTTATATTTCTTGGCTAAGAAAATGTTTTTGGAGAACTGTTTTTCTACCATCCTCTTTCTACTTTACCCACATGGACATTTATAAAAATGATGAGCTGTAACACATATATTTTTTCACTTCTCTTCTCACCAAAGCGTCAGCGACGGCAGCCTCGACGTCGGTGCCAGTGTTGAGGATTCTCATGGCGTTGACGGAGGCCGAGATCCGAGCCTGATGGGACAGCCGGTCTGGAAAAGGAAACGCACATCAGCAGGTCAACAGGAGCGTTACTGTGACGAATATGGGATAAAGTGAGGATGAAGTTTGGTAACAGTCACTTAAAATGGAATTTAAAAAATAACAAATAAATAAAGAGGACCAGAGTTCACTCCTCACGCTCAAATTAATAAAATGAAATCAGATTTAGGAGTGAGGAGTGTCTCAGTCCTGTGCTTTGTGGATTCTGGGACCAGAACCAGTACAATTTCTAACTTTATTGTTTAGGTTGGGTTTTTGTTCTTTCATTCAGAATTTATTTAAAACGATGCATTATATTAGATTTGGTGAATGCCTCACGTGTCAATCATGGTTTAAATGTCTCATGAATTTTAGGAGGAGGCGACACAACATGAACATCTGACCCAACCCAAAGCAAATTAGCAAAGAAAGCTGCAATGAATGTTTCGGTAAAGCAGCCAGCAAAATCTTTAACCAACAAAAATAAAGACATTAAAACTGTAAGCAGCGATGAACAGGCACATCGGAGGTACAGGCGGGACGCCGCTCAACACAGCATATATTTTGCCATCTTTTACCATCTAAGAGTTAGATGGTATTTCTTGCCTCTGGAAATTATCAATTGCAAATTGCGCACCACTTCCTGTGTCCAATATGTGGCGCCAGAGAACACACACTATCTGTAGGTAGATAGGATGATATGTCTCACATAACACTGACTTCCTGCTGTCAGTAGGTGGCGCTATGACGATGAGTCAATATGGACATGTAGAAGTCTTCAGGCCTGGACTCTTATCCAGCATGTGAAATTTGGGGCTGATTGGGCCGTACAAAGTCAAGTTACGAAAACTTCCAGAGTCATGGCGAAACATCGAAATTTGCAGCGCCGCCACGGCAACGCTGTTCCACAAAAACACAACAGCTTTGAAATTTATAATCGTAAAGGTCTCAAGATTCAGCTGCCCAAATACGACATGGATCTGTTTAATCTGTAAAGTCACATGATCTGTGACATCATCTTTCGAGCTTCAAACTTTTCCTTCGCAACTTTTTAGTCGTCAGGTTTTACCAGCCAAAATTTGACGAATCCAATAAACCACCTAGGAGGAGTTTGAAAAACTTAAAATACACAAAAACTCACAAAATTCCAAATGGCCAACTTCAAGGTGGGCGGAGTTTATAAAAACCCACTGAGAAATATTTTCGAAATGATCCAAGATGGCTGATTTTCTAGCAGCCCAAAAATTCCCCTAACTCTTTAATGCTCTTCTGATGACATCCGATCAAATTTGAAAAGAGTCCAATAAACCCTCTGGGAGGAGTTTGCAAAACTTTACTTAAAATACATAAGGAAGGCACAAAATTACAAATGGCCGACTTCCAGGTGGGCGGATCCAATGACACCTAATGAGATGTATTTTTCAAAATGATCCCAATCGCTGTATTTTCTCGCAAACTTCACAGGTTTCAATGTGTATGACAAATTTCGTAGTTTCCGAGTATACCAAGGGCGTCAAAATTGCCTTTAAAAGCTCAAAGTAATTAAGGGGCGCTACAGAGCCGATGTGCCCGAGCCTGACTGCACCTTAAGATCGAAGGAATTACTAGTTTGAACATGGCTGCAAAGTTTCGTGACTTTTTATGTTTCCTAAAGTCCTCAATTAACGCAGAAAATCCAAGATGGCTGACTTTTTAATCTGCCGAAAAAATTCCTCCAAACTTTTATATGCTCTTGTAGATGAGATCCACTCAAATTTGAAAAGAAGTTTGTTAAACTTTACTTTAAATAATTTTTAAAAAACGCACCAGATTCAAAATGGCCGACTTCCGGGGGGGTGGAGCTAAGAAGCTTAATGATAAATATTTTCGAAATCGCAGTTTTAACGCATCCTAAAACCATCAATTGATGCACAAAATCCAAGATGGCTGACTTTCTATTGGCTGAACAAAGTCCCCACAAATCTTTAAAATTCTTGTAGATGACAGCAACGATCAACTCAAATTGCGTGAACATCAGAGACGCGTCATTCAAATCCTGGCGTGCATTTGAGAGCACTACGGAGCCTGCTGGTATGTGTGCCAATTTTGGTGAGTTTTCAAGAATCTTTAGCCCCTTAAAAACGTGATGAAGCAGCAGAAAGAAAACATTAGGTTCTTTTCACATGCTCGGGCCCTAAAAATGCAAATCATATAATGACAGTACAAAATAAAGTTGAGTGAATCAGCAGCTTCCTCTAAAAGCCAAAATAACACAGCTCTGTTACATCGCAAAGAAATGATCGTTAAGAAGCTGCAAAATAAAAGTTCAAACATCCTGCAGATTATTTTCCCGCCCTGCAGACTTGAGCCATGCAGAGAGAGACTTCACTCAGTCAGCCACATAGTTTAATACAGACAGCGACAGGAAGCTGAGTGTAAACATGTTTCATATATTGTATGTGGCTGACTGAGTGAACGAGTTCCACCGGTCACCTGAGTAGCACTCTGCAGAGGACAGGGCGCTGGTTGACCGGGAGTGACGTCGAGTGGCTGGAGGAGGACGTAAAGTTAGAGGAGAAAACACAACCACTGATACAGAAACACACATCAACACACACACCTGCCTTCACATGTCGCTACAGACACGTTAAAGACAACTTCAGGAGAAAAGTATTCCTGCAGCAGCTGCAAACTTTTTTCAGAAAATATTTTTAAAGTTTTTTTAAAACCTCAACAGAGAAAATTTGAGCTTTATGTTTGAACTAGACTTGACTTTAGTGATGATAGATTACTAAGGAGGACCGAAGCTGC